ATATCTTAAGATATTGATATCCTAAGATACTGATATCCTAAGATACTGATATCCTAAGAAAATGATATCCTAAGATATTGATATCCTAAGATACTGATCAGCTCCTTAGGCTCGGAGCCGAGCTTCTTAGGCTCGGAGCCGAGCTTCTTAGGCTCGGAGCCGAGCTTCTTAGGCTCGGAGCCGAGCACCTTAGGCTCGGAGCCGAGCACCTTAGGTTCGGAGCCAAGCTCCTTAGGCTCGGAGCCGAGCACCTTAGGTTCGGAGCCAAGCTCCTTAGGCTCGCAGTCAGCTCCTTAGGCTCGGAGCTGAGCTCCTTAGGCTCGGAGCCGAGCACCTTAGGCTCGGAGCTGGCTCCTTAAGCTCGGAGCCGGCTCCTTAGGCTCGCAGTCCGCTCCTTAGGCTGGAAGTGATGTTACTCTGAGTGTGTATCCTCCCAGAGCAGGCTTAAAAAATATTGCCTGGGCATTGGGCTAGTATTCCAGAGGTCGTAGGTTCGATTCCCACCGTGGCTGCAGGCATATTTTTCAAGCCTGCCCGGTGTGGATACACACTCAGAGTAACATCACTTCCAGCCTAAGGAGCCGGCTCCGAGCCTAAGGAGCCAGCTCCGAGCCTAAGGTGCTCGGCTCCGAGCCTAAGAAGCTCGGCTCCGAGCCTAAGGTGCTCGGCTCCGAGCCTAAGAAGCTCGGCTCCGAGCGTAAGGTGCTCGGCTCCGAACCTAAGAAGCTTGGCTCCGAGCCTAAGGTGCTCGGCTCCGAGCCTAAGAAGCTCGGCTCCGAGCCTAAGAAGCTCGGCTCCGAGCCTAAGGAGCTGATCAGTATCTTAGGATATCAATATCTTAGGATATCATTTTCTTAGGATATCAGTATCTTAGGATATCAGTATCTTAGGATATCAATATCTTAAGATATCAATATCTTGGGATATCAGTATCTTAGGATATCATTATCTTAGAATATCATTATCTTAGAATATCAGTATCTTAGGATATCAATATCTTAGGATATCAGTATCTTAGGATATCAATATCTTAGGATATCAATATCTTAGGATATCAGTATCTTAGGATATCAGTATCTTAGGATATCAATATCTTAGGATATCAATATCTTAGGATATCAGTATCTTAGAATATCAGTATCTTAGGATATCAGTATCTTAGGATATCATTTTCTTAGGACATCAGTATCTTAGGATATCAGTATCTTAGGATATCAATATCTTAGGATATCATTTTCTTAGGATATCAGTAACTTAGGATATCAGTATCTTAGGATATCAATATCTTAAGATATCAATATCAAGTTGGGATATCAGTATCGTCGGATAAAATTTTCTTAGGATATCAGTATCTTAGGATATCAGTATATCTTAGGATATCAATATCTGAGGATATCATTATCTTAGGATATCAGTATCTTAGGATATCAGTATCTTAGGATATCAGTATCTTAGGATATCAGTATCTTAGAATATCAGTATCTTAGGATATCAATATCTTAGGATATCAGTATCTTAGGATATCATTATCTTAGAATATCATTATCTTAGGATATCAATATCTTAGGATATCAATATCTTAGGATATCAGTATCTTAGGATATCAGTATCTTAGGATATCAATATCTTAGGATATCATTTTCTTAGGATATCAGTATCTTAGGATATCAGTATCTTAGGATATCAATATCTTAAGATATCAATATCTTGGGATATCAGTATCGTAGGATATAATTTTCTTAGGATGTCAATATCTTAGGATATCAGTATCTTAGGATATCAGTATCTTAGGATATCAATATCTGAGGATATCATTATCTTAGGATATCAGTATCTTAGGATATCAGTATCTTAGGATATCAGTATCTTAGGATATCAGTATCTTAGAACATCAGTATCTTAGGATATCAATATCTTAGGATATCAGTATCTTAGGATATCAGTATCTTAGAATATCAGTATCTTAGGATATCAATATCTTAGGATATCAGTATCTTAGGATATCATTATCTTAGAATATCATTATCTTAGGATATCAATATCTTAGGATATCAATATCTTAGGATATCAATATCTTAGGATATCAATATCTTAGGATATCAGTATCTTAGGATATCAGTATCTTAGGATATCAATATCTTAGGATATCAGTATCTTAGGATATCAGTATCTTAGGATATCAGTATCTTAGGATATCAGTATCTTAGGATATCAATATCTTAGGATATCAGTATCTTAGGATATCAGTTTTCTTAGGATATCAGTATCTTAGGATATCATTATCTTAGGATATCAATATCTTAGGATATCAGTATCTTAGGATATCAGTATCTTAGGATATCTCGAGATATCAATATCTTAGGATATCATCCAGTATCTTAGGATATAATTTTTCTTAGAATATCAATATCTTAGGATATAATCCCTATCTATCCATTGGGATACATTTAGTTATGCAAAATTTTTGTTCGCCTAATCCCTTAATTACCTACACGCCACCTAATCACTTGGCAACACATAACAACGCAGCAAAGTTTAAAACATGTTTCTTAATACAAATAATAGACAAAAAATATTACAACTAAGACTGTTAAATTGTTCTACAGGGGCCGGTTGTATAAAAACGTAGTTAGCGCTAACTGCAGTTAAAAAGTAGTTAAAAAGCTTTAAAAAGTAGTTAACTTTAATCACGTAGTTAAGCCGGTTGTATAAAAGTGTAGTTAGCCTTAACTGCAGTTAAAAAGTAGTTAAAGTTAACTATGCTTTAGGGTATAGTTAACTGTCCTACGTTTTTGTATAGGAGTGAACAACATTTTTCAGTAAAACAACAATGAAAAACAACGCTTACCTGAGATTTTCAATCGCTGTCTTCCCTGTGAATGTTTTCGGACAATATAAACTCTTCAAACGCTATCGCTTTGGTGTTTTTACGAAAACAGAACAAATTTTTGTACAGGACGGTTTCTCGAAGACGAAGTATGGTCCATTACACCAAGAAACACTGATATATAATTGCCAAACAGCTAGACCTTGGTTTAACGTAGACATCTCAAGGAAAAACTGCATTCTTTTATGATTTTTGTGGCGGTTTTTCCTTGTTTCCTTGTTTATTTTTCACTGTTTTCAATAAAATTCCCGCCTATTTGAAAAATGCGAGTCCACAATCATGTTGAAAATGTGGGTCAGCGGTCGTTACTCGCTGCTTACTTTATGTAATTTTGTGTTTAAACGCCCCACGCAAGCCCCACGCACAGTTAACTACGTGATTAGTTAACTATCCGACTAACTACGTTTTCTGCAACGCAGTTAAGTCATGTAGTTAACTAACTACAGTTAAGGATTTAACTACAGTGATTAACGCTAACTACAGTTAGCGCTAATTACGTTTTTATACAACCGGCCCCAGGTTATTTCCTTCAAGTATTCTATCTGACTTGGTCATCTTGACCGTATATATGTATGCGGGTTTGCTAAATAATGTTGAACAACATGCAAATAGCGATCATAACAACGGCTTTGACAACCCGGGATTAGCAACTGCTTATTTCTGTTGCGATATTTTTTATTTCTGTTTGGAAACTTATTGCCCAAAACGAGCCATCAAATTCATTAAAAAATTAAAACGAATTTCAATTGCGTGTTGAAAATAAGAGAGGGACTCACAACGGCAAAAAAAATATTCTACCGTACCGGGTTCGAACCGGTGACCTAAGGAATACTGATTTGGTAATAACTACAGTCCTTTGTTTTACCAACTGAGCTAACGGTAGGTTTTAAAAACTAACTTCTATTTCATACTTTTATACATGCAAACTATGAGAAACCTCTTGTCGTTTTATTACAAATTTGTCAGAAACTAGTTGTGATGCCAATTGATCGCCTGCCACATTTGGCCCAGGCCTGCCCGCGTTAATTGGTCGCGCTACCTCTCACAGTTGTACCAGGCTTGTCCGGGTTAATTTGGCCAGGCTCGCCCGGGTTAATTGGTCGCGCTACCTGTCACAGTTGGCCCAAGGTTAGGGCCAGCAAAGTTACGTCACATATTTTGCATACTAATTACTTCCGACACCTAAGTTTGCATACTAATTACTTCCGTCCCTATATGGGGGTCTTTTACTACTCAGGCAATCCGGTACGCTCCGGTACTATAAATAGGTTTCGGCAAGTATATTTTAACATTGTCGTTTTATTTACTCGCTTTTAAATATTTTATAGCTGTTGTTTGCTTCGCTTTACAATTATTTATTATTTCTAGCGAAGACAAATAAAGATAGCGGTAATAACACTGACTTCTTGCTTTCAAAAGGGCAAAATTTAATGAAATACTCGTCAATTTTCGATAAGAGCGAGACAAAGCAACGTCGGGTGGTCAAGCTTTGTAAACAAAGTTATAATTCACAAGTACTGTCGAGAAAACGTCCAAAATGGTCAAAACTTATTATTTGTTTCCGTGGCAACGATAAAAGATACGAGCTGGCGACAGAGCGAAGCGGCATAGTGTAAACACCCTTGATTTTGGCTTCGGTGTGAAAATTGATCCGGTATGAAAATCAATCCGGTATAGTGTAATCCCAGCCTTAGCATGTACATATACATTCCAAAATTTAGGCCCATGCAGTGATACATTTTATGAATTTATAGCAACAAATTATTCAGTAGTTCGTTTTTATACGGGATGAAATATGAAAAGTACAATTATCAAATTTGCAATAGCTACATGGTGGAAGAATCGTTTAAAAATAAGCCGAAGCACAAAAATGACAAAATTATATATCAAAATAAGGTTGATAAATGATCACAATTTATCTAAAGGTACTTATAATACGCAATTTGATTGGCTAATGCGAGTGCATTAAAACCATATGATTAAAACACACAAATGCAACTTATACAATACAATATGTTGGGGAAACTGTTAATATAGCTTTACATGTTTGAAATATGATATTCAGCATATATAATAAGTACCGAAATTTGATGAAATAAACAAAAGCACAGTCATCGCGTAAATTTATACTATATAATTTATCAATGTATATATCTGGTTTAAATATTCAATATTCATGAAGATACTTGGCTAAAAACAGAAAAATTAAAAACCTTAACAAACAACAAACCTGTTAAGGTAAAAGGAAAACATAGGTTTTTTAACAAGCTTCTGAGTAAGCATATTAGTAAACACAGTGGTGACATGGTCCACAGAGACACTGTCATAACCCATGCCAAGAATTCCGTCAAATTTAGCAGCAACAAAAGCGTCACCAGGTTCGCTTATAGCTTCAGCAAATGTTTGATTCTCCACTTTCAATGATCCAATCTATAAAGAAGCAGATATCTGATCAATTGAAGATATATGTCTATGATGCCACGAGGCCGCCGAGAAATGTTTGTATATATTCAGGGGAATAATTCACTAGGTTGCGAAAAGAGATAAGCCGATTTATCCGAAAATAATCAGCAAAGCCGAGGCCAATAACTGCATGATAATACGCAGACTAATCGGCCGCAATAAGCTAGATGTTAAATTTAACATCCGAAGTTATTTGGTTCCATTTAGAAATCGAAACATTCTGAAACAACAACAACAACAGCAACAACAACAACATTCATACCGGGAAAATGACATAACATAATAAAATAAAACTATGTAGAGTATAAATACAGTGGGCTAGTAAAGCTAGGCAGCGAGAAAATTATTTTGGAGTTTCTTTTTATTTTATTTTATTTTATTTTATTTTATCTTTTCTTTCCGCAATAGTAATTTTGATAATTTAACTAAATTCGATAAATACTTTGCAGTTTTTTTTGCCAATGATTCTATACAACTCTTTTAATCTGTTGTTTTAAGGAGGAACATGCGGTCAACCGTGTCACTTTATACTCAATGGGTAATAGCCAGGCTTTCTAAATTGAAAAACACGGGCGATACCCAACAAGGATGATCATCTCAAGTCTCAACCATCCAATAGTGCCTTAATGTGAACCATAATCCAACCCCGACCCTAACCTCTAACCTTAATCTAACCTTAATCTGACCCTAATCTAGCCTTAATCTGACCCTAATCTAACCCTGACCTTAATCTAAACCTGACGACATTTTTTTAATCTGATTGTTTATCTCCATGCATGACGTCTTATGACTTTTCCAAACTAACTTCAATTACCATGCACTACGCACCCTAACAACATCTGTACTAAGGAATCCTGACATACTTCCAGTTCCAGAACCATAGTCAATCGAAAAGTTCTGACCATTCTTCTGGTACGTACTGGATTTTGAGCTGTCATATTTACTGTGTAATACTGGAAAAAAATATCAATATTATATAACACAATTAGCTTTACAAGGAACACTATGAAATGACTTAGTATGACTTGGCATTGAGCATGCCAATTTTCTTTAACTTTTGATCTCCAATTTGGAGGACACATTCCGACATTAAATTTATCATTCCGATATTATCTTTAACAACCGATGTTATTTGCTTCGAAACATTTCGAAAGCTTTGTTGCTTATCAGTATGCTTTTTAACAAACGTATTTTGGAGTTTCTTTTAACTTTTGTTCTTAATTTTTATAATACTAATTTGGATGTTTAATGTAACTAAAACTCCAATGATTACATTGTAGTTTATTGGCACCCTCACCCAAAACTCACCCCAAAACTTATGTATTGTCCTACAACTAACCGATCTAAACAAGGTGAGCAGATAAATGGTTCAAAGCCTACTCAGTTGTCACAGTTCTAGATTTTCTAGCGCCACAAATCATCAGCCACAAATTACCGATATCTAATTTCTTTGATGTGCCACCGCTAGATGCCTGTCCTGTTGGTGGAGGACCAGCCGATGTGTTCTGCTATGTGGCGAGTAGGATTGTGGTATCCCCCGGAGGTCTTGAATATTCTCATTGGTGTACAAGTTCCAAACTCTACGAAGCACGTAGATCAAGGGAGGGGAACTGGACGCCGAAGGATGCCATTATCCTCTAGCTATATGGCTTTATCGTTATCCGAAAGAGGAATTCCGTCCACAGTGGAAATTTACGTTCACAACTGGGCAGATGGTGGGGTTTCCCACGTCTTGCTCGTTAGCCAGAGTTGTGGCACTCTTCAGATAAAATTGACCTAAATTTATCTGAAGAGTGCCACATACTGTGGTACGAAACTATTTAGTAATAAAGATGCCTAGTGGATTTTGTTGATTTGTTGTACCTTAATATATATGTTGTGCTTCGCAAGTACCAAGTACCTGGATGCGGAAAAGCCCCAAATTGTTCGGCCTCGACCGACCGACTAACAAGCCTGACCAAAAGATTATATCGCTAAATTACCACAGGGATTAAGAATACCAAACATACCTCAACCAATTTTTGCCCTTTGACTTCTGCTTTGACTCCAACGGTGGCTTTGACTTCAACCTGGGCAGGCAAGACCACTCGCATGCAGAAGCTACCTTCTGGGCTGAGCGTTTAACAAACTGGCCCAGACAGACTTGGATCTCAGTGTTTTATTATATGCAATGTTACGCATGACTGCACTTAGAATAGTATGGAAATCCAATTATGAAATAGAATAGTATAGAAATCCAATAGAATAGTATGGAAATCCATACCAATTTCAATTTCCATACTATGGACATAGTATGGAAATAATATGGATATACTATGGATTTAGTGATGCCATTACGAATTCCATAGGCATAGTATGGATTTCACCAGTTTTTTCCAGTGCTATTTGTATAACCTAACAATACAATCGGCCTCACTAGTCACTAATCGGCAATTTTTGTGATCGACTCATCTCTAATACGTGTCGACATTTTCAAAATTGACCACCTTTGCATCTGCCCAGTCTTTGTAATTGACCTTTTTTGTCTCAGCAAAATCGGCAATTTTTCTACCAAGGAAAGTCAGAACATTCAAAATAGGCCTTGCATGGCATTTGCTTTGGTAATTAGTAAGGCGTAAAAAAAAAATACCTGTGGTTCCGGTTTCATATCGTGAAAAAATTAGGGTCGGTAGGTCGGAAATATAGTTTTTTTTTAAATATTTTTTTCATGGTTTTGCCGGGTTTTTGCTGGGCGATTGGCAGTAGAGTCCCGACATCAATATTAACTAGAGGTGCGTATTTCCTATGGACGAATTGAGGCAATTTGGTTCAATAATTATTGTGACAACAGACGCCATTTTGGCACGCTGTACGAGCAGCCCGCAACCACCTGGAGAAAATAGG